GGGTCACATCACAGTGGAGTCAGCTGTCTTAACCGTGGCTTGTGTACTGCGAACATACCAGCTTCATCACTGTGTCTGTCATGCGACTCTGTTCCCCTTTCGGGCTTTAACTGATGGTAAAACTAATGACATTGTTTACTGTCTTTACATTTATTTTGAAAGATGAAGCTCGCGATTATGGTAAGGGCCATTACATTTCGGTGTACTTGCGGTGTTCGGCCAATCACAATGCACTGGGTCAGCTGGCCAATCAGAGAAGTCTGCGCTTGTCGGCAGGAGGGACTTTGTAGAAAACAAAGCGTTTGAGAGAGACGGGGCATAAAGGACCTACAATAATGTACAGTATTTGAAAAATAATGTGTTTTTTGAACATTAAAGCATGTCAACATATTCTGTTACACCAAATACACAAAATAATGATCTTTTAAAAAGCATCATATGACCCCTTTAAAGTGACTTACACCCCTGTTTTCTTTTTACCTTTGTATGGCATCATTTTCATCTATGTCAAATTTAAAAAATGTATGTTTATAAGCTTTTTAAAATGTCTATGTCTATTTTTATAATAACAAGTAGAATAAGACAAATCAATTACCAATCATATGAAATTAGTATTAATAAAAAAATTATTTGTACTACAGAGGTGGCACAGAAGAACACAAAAATGGCTTGCAGGAACATTTTCAGACGTTTAATGAGGCTCAGAGGTGGCATGAGTGCAATTAAATTCATACATTCATGTGGAGATTAATGTTTTAAATATAACATTTTGAATACAGATATATTAAATTATTTAAATAACTGAAATTATAGCTAAAAATTAAAGTTTTAAATTTCACTCATTAGTCACTAATTTTATCACTGAATCATTCATTCAATTGATTCGTTCGGACGGCTGATTCATTCAGGAATGAAGCAGTGACTGTCTTTATAAATGGGTAATCATGAATCATAGACTCACAAGATTCGTTCAAAAACGCACTTTCATTGAAAGAATTAAACACGCTGTGTTTGCTTTTAGACATGTGCAGAGGCTGAGCTGTTACTATATTTGGAACTATTTTCGTTGAAGAAATAGAGCAAAATCAGGCAGTACTTGTTTATTCAACTGTTGTATTAAATCAATATCAAATTTGCAAACTCCCTTAATAACTACTAAAAGTTGTCACTCTCCTTGTCGCGAACAGTGGGCGCACAGAAAATGAGAGCGCGCGAGTGAGAGCTCAAGACACAGGCCTTGAGGCTGTGTTGTGGAGCTTTTAAAACTACCCCAGTGTTAGCATTACAGGTAGAAATAGGAGAATGTCCTTTAGAATTAAGAAGGAAGCAGTTGATGGTAAATTATTGGGCAGGTTTACAAGGGCATAATGATTCACATCCTACTAAGGCAATGTTACAGGAGAGCTGGGAATATGGGAAAAGGCTAAATGATAACTTTGGTAGGATTGGAAATGACTCAGCTAAAGAATTGGGAGTTTTTAATTTGAGGATAAGTTGCACAGTAGTTTATCCAGAGACGGCTCCCTGGAAGTTAGTTTGGCCTGAGGTAGATTGGTATGTGTTAGACGAAAAAGGGAGGGCAAAGGAAGATATAAATCTAAAAATGGTCTTCAACAATCGGATAGCGGAAAAATATAATGATTACATACAGGTTTATACAGATGGTGCCAAGGAACCAGAGACGGAAGTAACCGGATTGAGTGTGGTGGTTCCAAGTAAAGGAATTGGAATTAATAGAAGAACATCTAATATGTTAGGGGTTTATACAGTGGAAATGCTGGCAATATTAATCGCTGTACGATGGGTGGAAAAGACAGGGCAGCATAACGTTTTGGTTTGTTCAGATTCATCATCAGTTTTAGCAAGTATAAGGTCATTTTATTCAAAAAGTCGGCAAGATATACTGTTTGAAGTCCTACAGTCAGTTACAAGAATATATAACCAAGGAAGGCAGATCAAATTTTTATGGGTACCAGGACATGTAGGGATAAGGGGAAATGAAATGGCAGATAAATTAGCTAAAACGGCGTTAACAAAAGGAAACATAGAAATGCAAGTAAGTATCAGTAAAGCAGAGGTTAAAAGTGTGATATGGAAGACAATAAATCAAATGTGGCAAGAGAGGTGGGATAGAGAGGGGAAAGGAAGGCATTTATATCAAATCCAGAGGGATGTTAAATGTTCAGTGATTGGTAGTGGAAATCGCAGAGAGGAAACAGTCATATCTAGGTTAAGATTGGGACATTGTTTATTAAATAAAACACTCAAGTTAATAGGGAAACATGATACTGGATTGTGTGAGGTTTGCCAGGAAGAAGAGTCAGTGGAGCATGTGGTCTTGAGGTGCAGCAGGTATGAGGTTCAGAGAGAGTTGATGAGGAATAAGTTGAGAGAGATAGAGGTTCAGGACATGACATTAAAAGAGCTGTTGAGCACACAACACAGGGCACAGACTAGAATTCTTATGGATTTCTTAAGGGACACAGGGGTTTTTAATAGAGTATGAAGAGTTATAGGAGTATTGAGGAAGGTTAAAATCATTATTATTATTATATAATAGAATAAGGATGAAGTGTGTGGATTTGTATGCTTGGGGGAGAAGGAGGGAATTTGGGTGCATTAGTTTGTGAACCTGTTGTCTGATCCACACTCCGGAGCAGATGGTGGCGGTAATGCACCAATTACGCTGGATGCCAACCGCCGTTAAACATTAAGAAGAAGAAGAAGAAGAAGAAGAAGAAGAGAGCTCAAGACTCAAAAGCGCGTGCAAATGATAAGTTCCGTCATCTGTCACCATGTTATAAGCGCGGAACCTGCGGGAATGAGTGGAATTATTATTAATAGCCGTAATCCTGCTCCGAAATTCAAGTTCTGCTCTGTGTTTTCTGCTAATAACCCGACTGTGAATGATGCGAGCGGCATCACTATGTTGCCACTGAGAAGCTGCAGCCGTGGCGGGGATGATTTCTGGTACAATAACAATGCGCTAAATGTTTATTTTCCTCTCATTTGACGGAAATCCGTCGTAGCGACGGAGAACTTTAATCCCTGTGAGTACCTTGGAATTTTCAAGAAACACTTTTCCGTGAGTCTGGGCCAGAAACGGCATGTTATAGAAAAGTTAAAGGGGTCATATGATGCAGCTAAAAAGAACATTATTTTGTGTATTTGGTGTAATGAAATGTGTTTATGCGGTTTAATGTTAAAAAAACACATTATTTTCCACATACTGCACATTATTGTTTCTCCATTTTTACAAAGCTCATCGGTCTGAAAAAGCGAG